GCTGTGCTGGGATGTTTTGTGATTATGACTCGCAGCCCCGCTGAGAATGAACAGAAGTGGCAGAGGGAAAGGCCCCGCCCCAGAGGAGGACCCAAGGTGTACACTGAGGGGAAGCCTAATATTTTAAGGCAAAGGTGGAGTGTCCCTAGGAGGAAAAAGGCTCGGCTTGCTGGCTGCTGGGGTGCTTGCAGATGTCTAACCCCACTTAATCCCATGAAGCCCTAAGCAGGTCCCTTTCAGATGAAGAAGCTAAGGCTGGGAGACACTAGCAGCCGTGGGTCGCTGAGGTCAGAGCTGGGAAGCAGGCCCAAGTGCCTCCTGGCTTTTTAAGACATAAAAACTCCAGATTTAGAAGCCACTTGGCAAAGAGAATTAAGAAACAACAGCACCATGACACAATCACCACGACAGTCAACTGTCAGCGGTGCAGAGCCAAGCTCCCTGGAGAGGCCGCACTCACCACTCCTCTGTGATCCTCGTCTGCAGCTCGGGCAGGAGGAACTGCCCGTGGAAGCGGTAGATGGAGGAGATGTTAGAGAAGACGCCTGTGGTGACTTCCGGAGGGACCCCTGCTTCTGTCAGCTGGGTGCAGAAGACCTGGGCACACAATGGTCACTGAGGGTGGTCACGTGGTGCAGTCACGATTCTTCTGTGGGTGTGGGTGCCCAGGAGAGGCTGGGACGCCTCTCCTTTCCCTAATAAACCTCCCATTTCAGCAAAGTGGCTCCAATAACCTTTGGGTCTTACAGCAAGCTTCCTTATGGCTAAGGACGGGGATGAGGCAGATGGGGACAGACCATCCTTCCTCCATCTACCTTCATGGGAAATGGAAGGTCACAATTTCCTTTCTCCACTTGTGAGGTCCAAACAGAGGCAACACCTGTAACACCTTGTGCGTCCTTTGGAGTTACTGTCTGAGCTCATAAATCCCATGTTGTCACATGGACAGAGAAAGTGCCACCCACAGACCCCACTGTTTATTCAGAAAGATGTCCAGAGACCGTTCACATGCTCATATAATGTGACTGCCAGGAATAAGGAGTAAAAACCCGCAGGGGGACCAGGCAAGACCTTTGCCCCACAGCCACAAGCTCTAAAAGCAAGAAGTATAAGTTTCTGGAGGGTACTTAAATTTGTCTGAGTTTTAGTATAGTCATTTGTATTCCAAATATATGGCCTAGCCAATGTTAAGATGGGGAGTTTGCCTGTGAAACTGCCCTTGAAACTATGAACGTAGAAGAAGGCATGCCCCAGCCAGAAGGCTACCTGGTCTAGCAGGTGCAGCCGCCTCACGTAGGTCTCCTCGGTGTGCAGGAGCTCCTGGGCGATGTGGAGCAGCTCCTGGGACCTGGAGCGCTGGGGAGAGAAGAGCCAGAGATGAGCTGGGGAAGGTGAGCCTTGGAGAGATCTGACAAGGGCCGCTCTGCACCAGGGAAGACTAGGGGTGCTGTGAGGCCAGAGGAGACTTCTGGGATTGGAAGGTGCAGAAGATTAACAAGGACATAGAAACTATAAAAAAGAGGAATTTAATATCAGATTTTATCAGGCAGAAGATTCAGCAAACTTGAAGATAGGTCATTTGAAATCATCAAGTCACAGGAACAAAGAGAAAAAAGAATGAATAAAAACAAAGAGAACCTAAGGAACTTATGGAACACTAACAGAAAGACTGATATATTCATGATGAAAGTCCTAACAGGAGAACAGAGCTTATTTGAGGAAATAATGGTGGAAAACTCCCTAAATGAGAGTAAAGAAATGGACATACAAATTTGAGAAGCTCAAGAAACTTCAACTAGGTTGTATCTAAAATGAATGAGCCCTGGCCAGGTGGTACAGTTGGCTGGAACATCGTCCCGTACACCAAAAAGGTTGCAGATTTGATCCTCTGTCAGGATGTGTACAGGAGGCAACTGATCAATGTTTCTCTCTCACATTGCTATTTCTCTCTCTCTCATTTCCTCTCCTCTAAAACATATAGTTGGGTGAGGATGAAAAAACTAAAACAAAAGAACCACGCTGAGATCCATTATCTCTCTCTATATATATAAAAAGCCAATGACTGGAATGCCAGAATGACCTGAACGACTGGTCACTATGATGCCCACTGTGGCCAGCAAACTGGCCCAATCAGGGGGTGGGGCCGGCCGGCCAACCTCCTACAACCCCTCCCCCCCGCCAGCTCTGCCCCCAATCGGCCTCCCCCACCCCCTTGGCCAATCACCCGTGGCCCTTCCCCACAGCTGGCCCAGCCCTGATTGTGTCCCAATATGGGCAGGCTGGCTGGCCCACCATCCACAGCCCCTCCCCACGGCCAGCCCTGCCCCCAATCGGCCTCCCCCACCCCCTTGGCCAATCACCCGTGGCCCTTCCCCACAGCTGGCCCAGCCCTGATTGTGTCCCAATATGGGCAGGCTGGCTGGCCAACCTCCCACCAGCTTCTCCTCCCCACAGGCCCATCCCCGATCCGCCCTGATTGGGGCCAGGCCAGCTGGATCCCACCCATGCACAAATTCGTACACTGAACCACTAGTTTTATTATTAGAGGCCCGGTGCACAAAAATTTGTGGCTGTGCCCTCTTTCGTCCCGTACACCAAAAAGGTTGCAGATTTGATCCTCTGTCAGGATGTGTACAGGAGGCAACTGATCAATGTTTCTCTCTCACATTGCTATTTCTCTCTCTCTCATTTCCTCTCCTCTAAAACATATAGTTGGGTGAGGATGAAAAAACTAAAACAAAAGAACCACGCTGAGATCCATTATCTCTCTCTATATATATAAAAAGCCAATGACTGGAATGCCAGAATGACCTGAACGACTGGTCACTATGATGCCCACTGTGGCCAGCAAACTGGCCCAATCAGGGGGTGGGGCCGGCCGGCCAACCTCCTACAACCCCTCCCCCCAGCCAGCTCTGCCCCCAATCGGCCACCCCTACAACAATCATGGGTGGGGCTGGCTGGCCAAGCTCCCACTGCCACTCCCCTGGCCACTGGCCCCCAATTGGCCCCACCACCCCATTCTGGGGTGGGGCTGGCTGGCCCACCATCCACAGCCCCTCCCCACGGCCAGCCCTGCCCCCAATCGGCCTCCCCCACCCCCTTGGCCAATCACCCGTGGCCCTTCCCCACAGCTGGCCCAGCCCCGACTGTGTGCTGCAAACAGCCATCATCCCCTCACCCAGGCTGGCCAGTCACCCAAGCGGGACCCCCACCCTGATCTGGGACACCCTTCAGGGCAAACCAGCTGGCCCCCACCCGTGCACCAGGCCTCAATCTTATATAGTAAAAGAGTAATACGCAAACTGACCCTATCAGCAGAAAGACTGGGAATTACTGGTCACTATGACACACACTGGCCACCAGGAGGCAGATACTCAATGCAGGAGCTGACTCCTGGTGGTCAGTGCACTCCCACAGCCAACCTCCCGCAGTCCCTCCCCCTAGCCGGCTGGCCCTGATTGGCCCTGATCACTGGCCAGAGCGAGAGACCCTACCCATGCACGAATTTGTGCACTGGGCCTCTAGTAATAATAATAAAAGAATGAGATGATATACTTAATATGCTAAGAGAAAAAAACTGTCAACCAAGAATACTGTATTCAGGAAAGCTGCCTTAAAATGAAGAAATTATGACCTTCCCAAATAAACTAAAGATGAAGAGTTCATTACCACTAGAGTTGCTCTACAAGAAATGTTTAATGAGTCCTGAAATTGTGAAGATGGTAGAGAGCAACATAAGCTGTACAAAAATATAAGGTTCTCAGTAAAGGTAATGCATGGGTAAATATAGTAACATGCACTGTTGTAATTTTGGTACATAAAGTTTAAATGATAAGAGTATTTTAAAACTATAAACATTCATTAATGAATATACAATGTATAAATATATAATTTCTGACATCAATAACAGAGTGGGGAAAAAGGAGAGCTGTAAAGGAGTAGAATTTTTATATGCAATTCAAGTTATCAGTTCAAAATGAAATGTGCTGAAACCAGTTTGGCTCAGTGGATAGAGTGTCGGCCTGCGGACTGAAGGGTCCCAGGTTCGATTCCGGTCAAGGGCATGTACCTGGGTTGCGGGCACATCCCCAGTGGGAGGTGTGCAGGAGGCAGCTGATCGATGTTTCTCTCTTATCGATGTTTCAGACTCTCTATCTCTCTCCCTTCCTCTTTGTAAAAAATCAATAAAATATATTTAAAAAATAAAAAAAACAAAATGAAATGTATAACTTTAATATATTTTATATAATTGCAATAGTAACCATAAAGAAAATAGCTACAAAATGTACACAAAAAGAAATGAGAAGAAATCAAAGCACATAAGGACAAAATTCAGTGAAACAAAGGAAGGCAGTGAGAGAGGGACAAAAAACAACCATAATTCCTTTCTTATCAGTAATTACTTGAAAATGGATTATACTCTTAAATCAAAAGACATAAATTGGCTGAATGGATTGAAAAAATAGCATCCAGGAAGGATTAAAAATGGTGACAGAGTAAGTCGATGCTGCATGGACATGCTCCAGGACCAAACTGGAATTACAACTAAAATACAGAAAAACTTTCTGAATAATCAACTGGAGACTTGCTTAAGGTGCTGAGTCCCATTAAGAGACTAAGAATAACAATTAGCCTCCAGGCAGAAGCAATCACCCAACCGTGTTAGGAAAAAAACTCTCTTCACACCTGTGGACAATTGATGGCGGGCTAGTCAAGGCTAAATCCAATCAGTCTGCAAACATAAGTGGACACTGGAAGCTTTGAGTCTTTGCCTGATCTAATTAGTCAGAAAGCATTTGACACTGCCCTGCACTGGAGATTGAGAGGCATATTAGATCTACCTATTACATAGTCACAAACCCAAACAGGCAGCCAAAAGGACGATACAAAGAAACAACCCCCAAATGAAATAACAAGAGAATTCTCCAGAAGACAAGATAAATGAAACAGAGATAAGAAATTTATCTGATGCAGAGTTCAGAATAATGATGGTAAAGATGCTCAACAGCATGAGAAAAGATATAGTAACTATGAAAACACAAATAAAGAATGACCCAGCACAAATAAAGAACACATTGGAAGGAATACACAGCAGATTAGGGGAAGCTGAGGATAGGATCAGTAAAATAGAAGCAGGATCAGTAAAATAGATGACAGAGTTGAAAAAATCATTCAATTAGAGAACCAAAAAGAAAAAAATAATTAAAAAACAGGAGGACAGCCTGAGCCCGTTTGGCTGAGTGGACAGAACATCAGCCTCTGGACAAAAGGTCCCAGGTTCAATTCCAGTCGAGGGCATGTAACTCAGTTGCAGGCTCCTCCCCAGCTTGGGCTCTGGTTGGGGCTCATGCAGGAGGCAACCAATCAATGGGCTTCTCTCACATCAATATTACTGTCTTTCCCTCTCTCTTACACTCTCTCTAAAAGCCAATGGAAAAATATCCTCTGGTGAGGATTAAACAAACAAACAAACAAACAAACAAACAGGAGGACAGCTTAAGGGAGCTGTGGGACAATGTGAAATGTAACAATATTCACATAGCAGGTGTGCCAGAAGAGGCAGAAAGGGAAAAAAGATTAGAGAACGTGTTTGATGAAATAATGGCAGAAAACTTCCCTCACCTGGTGAAGGAAAAAGTCACACAAATTAGGGCAGCACAGAGAGTGCCAAGCAGGAAGAACCCAAACAGGCCCATGCCCAGTCACATGGTAATTAAAATGCCAAAAATTGAAGACAAAGAGAGTATCTTAAAGGCAGTAAGAGAAAAGCAAACTGTTACCAACAAAGGAGCTCCCATCAGAAACTCTATAGGCCAGAAGGGAATGGCATGAAGTGCTCAAGATAATGGAAAGCAAAAAGCTGAAACCAAAATTACTATATCTATCAAGGCTATCATTCAAAATAGATGGTGATAAAGAGCTTCCCAGACAAAAAAGGCTAAAAGTGTACATCACTACCAAGCCAGCATTACAAGATGTGCTAAAGGGACTGCTGTAATGAGAAGAAGAAACCTAGACATACAGAATTAAAATGGCAATAAGTAAGTACTTATCAATAATAACCATAAATGGCCGAAACCGGTTTGGCTTGGTGGGTAGAGCGTCGGCCTGCGGACTGAAGGGTCCCAGGTTTGATTCCGGTCAAGGGCATGTACCTGGGTTGCAGGCACAACCCCAGTAGGAGGTGTGCAGGAAGCGGCTGATCGATGTTTCTCTCTCATCGATGTTTCTAACTCTCTATCTCTCAGGCATACTTCAAAAACCAAGAAAAATTAACAATAAGTTATTTAACCCTACTACTTAAAGAGCAGAAAGAGAACAACAAGGAAAGTAGAAGAAAGAAAACATTCAAA